CAGTGATTTAATACCTCATAGGCATTAGCCATTTCGGGATTCCTATCAGCAAATTCATTGTCAAACACGTACAAAGGCGTTTCATCGCACTGAAATTTCATGTAATGCGCATAAGAATTCAAAGTCATCAGAAAATAACGATTTTTTCCTCCGTGATCATTTGCCACTCGAAACGCTTGTTTTCCATACTGCAATAAAGATGATTACATATTTATTTAACCTCAATATTAAAGATCGATCATAAAAGATAGATTTATATCGTAACCAACCTTTTGCAATAAATTCTCCCACTTCCAATCATTCCAGGCTTTCCATTTTTCTATTTCTCCATTGGTAATCAACACGGGAACAGCCTGTGCATCATAAAAAGCTTCAAATCTCTCTCTAGTGAGATTTCTCCCATCTTCCACTGGTATCTTGGTCTCAAGAGGTAAATCCTGAGAAGGAACGAAATTACTGAGATTCATGTTGCAGCGACACCATTTTGCATATAAATAATAACTTGAAACATCTATCATTTATTATTGTTATTTTTTTTTTTTTTCAATTTTAGATGGAATTTAGAACGAAGAATTTTTTATTAATGTTGGAATCCCACCTGAAAAATAAAAAGTCTGTTGGGCAGGATGATTACAGATCATTTGTTCCTCTTGTTCACTCAATGATGTAGGAAACAAATAGCTTAGCAACCAACTTCTGCGATATACAAAATTCTCCATGACTCTCCTATCGTGTCCCCATTTATCCAAACAATGTTTTTTCCAAAGTTGATCGTCGTGTGCGAATATGTAAAAGAATTTAGATACCCTTGAAGATAGGGCTAGCTCCTATTACAAGGTGCAAGATGACGTCGAGAATGTGAAGGTAATCAATCATATAAACTTTAGCCACACTATAAAAGATAAAGGTATAAGGTTCAGTAATTTAAGTTCAGTGATCAACGATACCTTTGCAGACAACTTCGACAGAATGCATTCAGATATAACATTATCTGTAAGCACGCTAAAGGATCCGAAGCTTTTTCGCCTTCGATTCTCGAGATCCTCCGAAAACATAACTATATCAGACCATGAAGTTAGGATGTAGTTATTAGAAAGGGATCGATCAACAGAAGAAAGCATGTAGATAAATTGTCTTTTTTTTTTCAAACATCGTAACGCAAGTTCAGACAAAGAAGTTGTTCACAAATTACCAATCCCCAATTGACACCAGGCGAAGCGTCGCGAAGGATGGCATTCGAACGCAAATTACTCTTATATTATCATCATTTAATTGCGTACAACATTGAATCAAGCAAGAACACGGAGTTAAAATATTAGAGAAACTTACCTATTATAATAAATCACAATGCGAGGATAGAAGTTTGTCTTTGGTACAATACCACTCGGTGGACTATAAAGAAGAAATCACATGGCACATGGAGCACCAAAAAGAACAAAAAAAGGGCAATTCTTATTATGAATGTCTCCAATGCAACATCATCCTTAGAATATTTTCAGAAAGCCACTTTATTATGAATGCGTGGATTCGCAAATTTGTCCAATGAAAGATGCACAGATAGAAAACTGTATCGAATAATCCGAAAGATAATCCTTTACTTAGGACAATTCGAGAAGCGTTGCTCCAGCTTTTTTTGATTCTAAATTTATTTACGCAGAGGTTACATAGATGATAATTTTTATGAGTGACGGGAGATTATCACAAAAAAAGTTAATTTATATACGACATGCATATGTGATTTTTGAGTCACGTGTAAAACATGAAATTCAGCATGCGAATCGTACAATGCGAGTATACTTTCTGTTAAAGACTGCTATTTCTTGGTAGTTACGGGTTTCCAAGGTTCGGGTTCAAACGCGTCACCAGGTATAGTTTGAGCTCCAAATGGGGAGTCCTTGATTGGTTTTGAAGGTGATGCTGATTGGATGTATCAGTTAATTTGCACAATCGTTGATAAAAAATAAATTACGGAAGGAGATTTTAAAGAAATCGTATAGCATAAGCACGCGATCACAAGGATGTTTATAAAATTTATTAGATGTTATCGGAACAAGGGAACGAAATGCAAGAATCCCTAAATAATTGAAATATATACCCTCTTCGCTGATGGTCTCCGTTGAATTAATTGCTTCGACACGTGATATCGCCAACTTGCGCTAAAAGGCAACCAATATGGATCATGTTAAGGGAATGTTCACCATGATTAAAAACGAACTCGAAGGTAATAATCGACCAAACAACTTTTAATGCAGAATCGGTAAAATCGGTAAAGGAGGAAATAAAATTTCACCTCTTCCCATTCTCTATCCAAAGCCTTGGCTCTTTGAATAATTAATTCTCTTCGTTTATTGGCTAACGTAACTTCCTTTATGAAAGGAAAGCAAATACGCTTTAAATCCGACAGTCAAAATCCGACAGTCAAAACCCTCATGTTTTACTTCACATTTTTTACCTCTATGGTAGGCGGGTCTAACCTTGTGTGCCTTAACCAACTTTGCCATTGTACTTTAGATCGAAACATAATCCAACAAAACATGAATCTAAATTTCATCGATGAATGATGAATCGCGCGTAATCAAAAAAACTTACCGGGCACGTCATCAGTATTATATTCACTCAACGGTTTCTCTTCTTTCATTTCGACCATACGTTTTTTTCTACCGTTGATAGCCTCAACAGTTTCATAATATTCATTACCCGATAAATCTATGCCTATAAACATACGGGAACGCCATGGTAGACGGGCCTGTCTCCAAATTTTTAACAAATGCGATATGAAAGATGCGTTCGACATTTTTTTCTAAAAAGATGAGAAAACGACGCATTATTTAGTGCTTGTGTTACATCTGATTTTGACGTCAAGATC